ACGGGAGTTCTTCTCGGGCCTCCAGAGTTTGGGGCACTGGATAAGGAGAGACGGAGGAGGAGGAGAGAAGGAGAAGGAACAGGAGGAGGAGGAGGAGGAGGAGGAGGAGGGGGAGGTGGAGGAGAAGGAGGAGGACGAGGAACAGAACAGCAGGATGAGAAGGAGGAGGAGGAAGAGGAGGAGGACGAGGAGAAGGATACCCTCCTCCTTCCCCCGTATCCCAGGTTCCAATTTACTTTAAGCGCCTTCCTACTTCAATGACCGAGCGGTTTCACCTTGTCCGTCCTCTTCAGGGGGCGGGCGGACACCCACGTCATGTTTCTACCTGTTTATCCCGACCGATGGGTAACAGAAGTATGAACTTCTGGTTCTGGGGTGCCGAGCTGTTCAATTTCTCGCGACCGTGCGACAGAAGTGCGGATGAACTCGAGCACTCTGGGCTCGGGGAGCGCGCGGCAGGTCGGGGGGTCAGAGTTGTCAGGATTTCCCGCACGGGAGCCCTGGTTGATGCCCGAGGCGGCCCAGATTTGAGGCGCGCAGGGCCATCGTCGACCAAAAAACACGGGGAGCGAGCGTGGAAGAGTACGGCCCGATCGAGAAATACATGATGGGCACCGGTGGCGGGGAGATCAGCAGCAGCCACGCCTCAGATCGGGTATAGCCAGGGCCCCAGACAAGGGGAACCGATTAGTGATGAGGCACCAAGGCCAAAGCATGTACCGGAATCGCTATAAGTCTGCCCTAGCTTGAGTTTGTGGGGGTGACGGCAGTTCTGGTTAGTGAGATAGGGCGGGGCAGCCGCCGCAAAGCACACATCAGTAAACCAGGTCCCCCTGAACCGATCAGATATGAGAACTCAACATCGCCATCCTCCTGCGATGTAGCATGGACGGGACGTTAAAGGATTCGGATGGCTAACGCCAGCACGCTGTGGGCGGTGGACAGCGGAGGCTCGGGGCTGGTGCGCCTGAGGATCCCGAGGCACCACAGATGCAGACGCATGTCTCGCCTCTCTCTCTCACTCTCTTCTTCTCCTGTGGAATCTCTCTCACTCTCCTACGACGGGGTCGAACACCACGACGCTCAGCAGCACGAGGGGTTCCATCACCAGGAGTCTCACACCTACGAGTGTGACGAGCAGTGCAACGGGCACCACGTCTTCGAACAGCACGGAGGGACCAGCACCTCGACACTCAGCAGCACGACGGAGTCGAGCACCACGATGTTGAGCAGCACGACGGGATCCAGCAGGACCGAGTCGAGCACCACGACGCTGAGCAGCACGACGGGGTCGAGCACCACGACGTTATGCAGCACGGAGGGATCCGGCACCAGCGGCTCACATCTAAGAGCGAGACGAGCAGTCCAACGGGCACGACGTCTTTGAGCAGCACGTTTTGGACCAGCACCTAGACACTGAGCCGCACGATGGAGTCGAGCACCGCGGTGTTGAGCAGGACCACGGGATCCACAACGAATGAGTCGAGCACCACGACGTTGAGCAGCACGACGGAGTCGAGCACCACGACGCTGAGCAGCGCGACGGGATCTGGCACCAGCGGCCTCACACCTACCAGTGAGACGGGCGGTGCAACGAGCACCAAATTTTTGAACAGCGCGTCTGAGACCAGCACCTCTACACTTGGCAGCACGACTGTCACGAGTAGGACGAGTTCCGCCTCGACTACAGCGCGGCTGTAAATTGCCACGGGTAACAGTATCCCAGCATTAGCGGCATGTCTGAGAGCACCAGTTTGATTCTAACGCCCACGAGTGGGACATGTACGACCGTTAGCACCACGCCGATGACCATCATAACAAGCTGCAGCCGCGAATTGGTGAGCAGCACACCCAGGAGCGACAAGTCGACCTTGACGACCACGAATGGGGCGAGTATTCCCTTGTCGACGCGCATCTCGACGTTACGCAGCACGTCGCCGACCACGGCTGTTACAGCAGCACATCGCTGAACAGCACGATCGGGCGCAGCATCGCCTCGACGTGCACAAGCGGGACAGGCACTGCCCCGACCACCACACCGTTGAGCTGCATGATGGGTACTGCTAGCACCTTAACGATACGCGCATGGGGGGGTACCAGATGGAGTACCACGTCGCTGACCACCATGACCGGCACCAGCCGCGAATCGGTGAGCCGCACGACCAGGAGCAAAGGCTCGACCCTGACGACCAGGTGTGGGACGCCCACCGCCTTGAGTTCTGCCCCAAGTCCTACCAGGTCCATGGCCCAGTACTCCCACGATCCGCGTTGGCCCACCGGGGGGGGGATGCGTGCCTCGGCTGATTTCCAAGAGCCGCATCGGCCCCCTGGACGTGGGACGCGGGCTTCGCCGTACTCCCACAGGCCGCACTGGCCCACCGGGGGCGGGGGAGCACCAGCGGCACCCCCGCGTGCAGCAAGCACGGACTGCCCGGATAGCCCCTTCCAGGAGCCCGCTTGCCCTCGGGCGCCGCCCCAGGCGAGCGACCAGGCGCGTCTAGGTGCCCACCTGTAGCACTCCAGGGCTGCCTCCTCCTCCTCGTCCTCCTCCTCCTGCTCCTCCTCCTCTCCTTCCTCCTCCTCCTCCTCTCCTCCTCCTCCTCCCCCCCTCCTCCTCCTCCCTCCTCCTCCTCCTCCTCCTCCTCTCATCCTCCTCTCCTCCTCCCTCCTCCTCCTCCTCCTCCTCCTTCCTCCTCCTCCTCCTCCTCTCCTCCTACTCCTCCTCCTCCTCTTTATGCCTCTCCTCCTCCTCCTTCTCCTCCTCCTCCTCCTCCTCCTCCTCCTCCTCCTCCTCCTCCGTATCTTTATCCTCCTCCTTTTCCTCCTCATCTCCCTCTTCCTCCGCTGAGATGGTCGAGAAGCACGAGTAGGGCCTGGCGTGTATCCCTGGGGCCACGCCTTGCTCTCGGATGGCCCAGGGCACACTGCAGGGCTCCGTGGATTGATGGCAACTCTTCCGTAGTTCTCCCTCCCTGGGGGGGCTCCTTGCGGGGGGCGCTCTAAGGCGGCGCTTCTCGTCGTTGGGCGCTGCTGGGGCGCGCGCGCCAACCCGCGCCTGAAGCCGGTGCCCCTCTGTGCGCACTGCCGCAGACGGGCCCCCGTGGGGTCCGATCGCGACAGACCGTCGCTGTTTCCAGCCGCGGGCCCTTTCGTCCGCGCCACGGGGGAGGTCATCCGACCGCCCCTGTTTTGAGCATACGGCGCCTCCCGCTCTGCGAGGCGGGAGGCGGGTCCGTTGAGCAAGCGTGGCCCGGGGACCCACACGGTGACACCGTCCGCAGTGGTGTGGTCTCTTTCTCTCTCTCTCTCTCTCGCTCTCTCTCTCTCTCGCCCTCCATCACTCTATATTTTGTTTTATGTTGTTATGTTTTTTTTTTCTCTCTCTCTCTCTCTCTCTCTATATATATATATATATATATATATATATATCTCGCACTCTCATTATCGTGTTTGTTTGTTCTCTCTCTCTCTCTTTCTCTCTCCTTCCCCCCTCTCCCTCTGTCTGTCAGGGGGCTGGCACCCGCAGCAGGCCGAAAGGAAGAGGAGGGAGGAGGTGGTTGAGGATGAGGAGGGTGAGGATGTGGAGGAGGGGGGGAAGGGAGGATAACATAGCAAAGCCGAATAGAGGAGAGGAACAGAAGGCAGAGAAGGCGGGTGCGGGGGGACGAGGAGCAACAACATGGCGAGGAGCAGAGAGGAGAGAGGAGGGATGATGAGTCGGCAGGAAGGGAATGCAGGGACACGGGAATGGAAACGGGAGGAACGTTGGGAGGAGCGTGCAGGTAGTAAGCAAGGCCTCGGCATGCGTGGTCGGTTCCTGGCCGATGGGGCTCGGCGGGTTCGCCCTCGCGGGGCGTGCTGCCGGGGTGGATCGCGGGATGTTCGTCTCGTTCCTGAGATACGTCGTGACGCTGTACCACGTGGTGCCCATCTCGCTCTACGTGATGTTCGAGCTGCTGAAGCTGATCCTCGCGAGGCACGTCGGCACGGACCCGCTCCTGGTCGACCCCGAGACGGGGCGGCACGCCGAGGCCCGCACCTCCGACCTCGTGGAGGAGATGGGCCAGGTCGGCTTCGTGTTCAGCGACAAGACCGGCACCCTGACCTCCAACGAGATGCGCTTCGCCTACGCCTTCGCCGGCGGCTCCCGCCTCGGGCCCTTCCTGCCGGGCGCGGCGCCGCCCGCCGAGTACCTGCCCTTGGCGGAGGTGCGGCGCCTGCTCGGGGCCGAGCCCGGCGCGGCGCCCGCCCGCGCCGAGCTCGCAGCGGCACTGCTGGACCTCTTCGAGCTGCTCGCGGTCTGCCACGGCGTTCAGCTCGACGACGACGGCGGGTACCAGGCCTCAGCGCCGTGCGACCGATCCCCATCCCCTCTGGGCCACGTTACAAACGGTGTTTCCCTGACCCTCGCTTCGCCTCGTCTTTCAGGCCCTTCGTCGATCCCCTTTTTCGCCGTCTTCTGTGGCTGTAGGCGCCTGGGATCCAGCGCTTGACTCCTAGCCCACGCCCCCAGCAAAAATCAACCCCACCAGCTCACACTCCCAGGTGGGGATAGCCCGCGAGACCGGAAGAAGCAGGCACACGTCCCCACTGGCCTTGGCGACCCACACGGGGGGGTGAAGAAGAGGGCCTTTTTAGGAGTTTTCTCTTCACGCCCGCTTTGGGTCACCCCCCACTGCCACCCGCCCGATGGACAGTGGGGCCAAGGCCACTACAGTGGGGAGGAGGAGGAGGAGGGGGAGGAGGAGGAGGAGGAGGAGGAGGAGGAGGAGGAGGAGGAGGAGGAGGAGGAGAAGGAGGAGGAGGAGGAGGAGCGGTTGGGGAGGAGGGTGAGGAGGCGGAGAGGTTGGGAGGAGGAGGAGGAGGAGGAGGAGGAGGAGGAGGAGGTGGAGGAGGGGGAGGAGGAGGAGCGGTTGGGGAAGAGGGGGAGGAGGCGGAGAGGTTGGAGGAGGAGGAGGAGGAGGAGGAGGAGGAGGAGGAGGAGAGCGCTGCCCCTTGAGGCCGCCTCGCCCGACGACGTGGCGCTGTGCGAGGGCGCCCGGGCCGCGGGCCTGCGGCTCGCCGCCCGCCGGGCCCACGGCGGCGGGGCGCTCCTGGAGGTCCACGGGCCCGCCCCCGGGCAGTGCGGGGAGCACGCCGTGGCGCAGGCGCTCGGAGGAAGCGAGCGATGGGCGCCCGGGTTCGCCTCGACACCTCGGCCGGCTTCGCCCCGAGGTTCTCACCGAGCGCTCCACTACTCGCAGAGTGCCTACTCGCAAACGTCCGAAACAAGCATAGCTTGCTCTGTGCAATGGATCTTACATCCCCCGCGGCGGATCCAGGCCATCTGCGAGCAGTGACTCTGCGAGCAGCGGAGCGCGCTTGTCTGGATTCGAAGGTGAAGAACGTTCTTAAGCCTATACGTTGTTGTGATCGTTTTCTTATTCGTTGTTTTTCCGATCGTCGCGGGCCCTCGCATCCCCCCCCCTATGGAGTAGATTTTGGCTTTTGTGGCGCCTGTTTGCAGGCGGCTGAGGTCCCCCCCGCAGCACGCGCTGCTGCAAAGAGTCGCATTCAGCAGAGGTCCAGAGCCAGAGCCCCCCCCCTTCCTTCTCCTCCCCCCCTTCCGCCCAATGCCGAAACGCCAGATAAAAAAATCGTTCACTTTGGCGCTCCGCGCGGATTTCTTGGGCGCGCGGCCCAAAATGTTATGCCTGTGCCGTTTCGTGTTCCTCTAGAGCCAGACCTTCGCGGCGCGCACGGGGGAGGAGGGGGAGGGGGGAAGGCGTCTTGGAAGCAGGCTGCTCCTCGGAATGCGCGGGCCTTGTCTGCAGATGTAGGGCCAGCGCCTCCTGAGAAGCAGCCTCCTTGCGAGAAGCCTTCCGCCCTCCCCCAGACCTTCCTCGAGGGCTAGAAAATAGCTCCAGGACCTCCAGGACCTCGACCTCTAAAATCCTGTCGAGGGGGTGCACATTTGCGTGTGAATGGCCGCTCGGGGCGTCTTGGAGGCCTCTTGGGCGCTTCTTGGGCCGTCTTGGGCGCTCTAGACGGTCCAAGAGGGGTCCAAGACGGCTCCAAGACGGCCGAAGATACCTTCACGACGGCCCAAAATCGCCCAAGATGGCCCCAAGACGCCCCAAGAGGCTTCCAAGACGCAGCAAGAGGCGCCCAAGAGGCGTCCCAGGAGGCGTCCCAGGAGGGCCCCAAGAGGCCAACATCATCGATTTCCTATAGGAAAACGTACAGTTCTAGCATATACGGCTTTTCGGCTTTCACGGCATTGAAGACGGTCCAAGAGGCCCCCAAGAGCACCCCAAGACGGCCCAAGAGGTTCCCAAGATGCCTCCAAAACGGCCTAAGAGGGCCCAAAGACGGTCCAAGAGGCGCCCTAGACGACCCAAGAGGGCCCCAAGACGGTCCAAGAGGCGCCTAAGACGGCCCAAGAGGGCCCCAAGACGGCCCAAGAGGAGGACAAGACGGCCCAAGAGGGCCTCAAGACGGCCCAAGAGCGCTCCAAGAGAGCCCGAGATCGACCAAGACGGCCCGAAGACGGCCCGAGAGGCGCCCCAGAGGCGTCCCAGGAGGATCCCGAGAGGCAGGAATCGCCGATTTCCGTTAGGAAAACGTGCATTTTAGTATATACGGTTTTCCGGTTTTCACGGCGTTCAAGGCTCCTAGTACGAACAGTGGTGTGAGTAATGTCGGTTCGGGTTAAAACGGCTACGCGGGTTAAAACGGCCATGCGGGTTAAAACGGCCATGCAGGTTGAAACGGCCATGCGGGTTCAAACGGCCATGCGGGTCAAAACGGCCATACGGGTTAAAACGGCCATGCGGGTTAAAACGGTCGTGCGGGTTCAAACGGCCATGCGGGTTAAAACGGCCATGCGGGTTAAAACGGCCGTACGGGTAAATAAAATGGTCACGCGAGTTAAAATGGCCATGCGGGTTAAATCTGCCATGCGGGTTAAAACGGCCATGCGGGTTAAAACGGCCATGCGGGCCAACGGCCAGGCGTCGGAAAATGCCACCACCCGCCATTTTGCTTGCGGGGTGAAATCTCGATGCAGGGGGAGGGGGATTGCTTGTAGCGCGCTACAGAAGCACGCGGCCTCTTTTCCTCTTCTAATGCTACAGACTACCCCTTGCCGTTTTGCCCGCGGGCGGATATGTCGCGTTAAAATGGCCATGCGCGTTAAAACGGCCATACGGGTTAAAACGGCCACGCGGGTTAGAACAGCCATGCGGGTTAAAACGACCTCGGGCAAGGTTCTTGAAGCGCTCTTTCCGTTTCCGTGCCGAGCCAGGTAACGGAACGAGCGAGGTACGAGTGATGGCGTTTTGGTGTGGGCGAAGCCCTAAAGGGAGGGTAGCGTGCGCATTTGAGTGTTAATGGCCGTTGTCGGGTTTTCTTTCGGGTTTTTGCATGTTTTTCGGGTTCCCCCCCAAGACGGCCCAAGAGCGCTCCAAGAGAGCCCAAGACCGCCCAAGACGGCCCAAGAGGCCCCCAAGAGGCGCCCAAGGGGCGTCCCAAGAGGGCCCCAAGAGGCCGATCCAATCGATCATCCAGCGGAAAACGTATATTTTTAGCATATGCGTTTTGTCGGCTTTCACGGCGTTGACGACGGCCCAAGAGGCCCCCAAGACCGCCCCAAGACGGCCCAAGAGGCTCCCAAGAGGCCCCCTAAAACTGCCCAAGGGGGCCCCGATGAGGGTGATTGTGTTGATAATTCAGGTGACGATATTGATGATGATGACGACGATGGCAATGATGACGATGGTGATGACGATGTTGCTGCTGATGGTGGTGATGGTGACGATTGTGATGATGGTGATGGTCATGGTGATGATGACGACGCCGCTGACGATGACGCCAGATATGATGGTGATGAGGATGGCGATGATGACGATGACGATTATCCCAGCTAAAACTTGAGCGCGCGCGAGGCGCGCGCGATGGTTCTAGTGTATATATGTGGCTATGTTTACATACGTAGCGCCTCGTCGTCGCGGATAAGGGTGAAGGGACGGCGGGGATGTCTGCAGTCTGCGAGGCTTTGAAGAAGTTCGCAAAGCCTTTCGCCACACGACGCTCCCAGGAGGCCCCAAAAGCCCCCCGAGAAGCCCCAAGAGGCCCCCAAGAGGCGTCCCAAGAGGCCACCAGGAGGCCAAAATTATTGATTTCCGATGGGAAAAGGTATATTTTTAGCATATGCGCTTTGTCGGCTTTTACGGCGTTGACGACGGCCCAAGAGGCCCCCAAGACCGCCCCAAGACGGCCCAAGAGGCTCCCAAGAGGCCCCCAAAACGGCCCAAAAGGTCGCCAAGACGGCCCAAGAGGCGCCCGAGACGGCCCAAGAGGGCCCCAAGACGGCCCCAAGAGGGGGACCACGAACCGAAAAGTCTAGCCTTTCGCCCCAAGAAGCTCCCGGGATGCCCCCAGAGCCCCCCAAGAAGCCCCAAGATGCCCCCAAGAGGTTCCCCTTCAAAAGGGCCCGACAAGGGCCCCAATAGGAGTCCCAAGAAGGCCCAGAGACGCCAAATAGAGAGCGATCGGTAATGCAAAAAGCTCTTCACACCAAGGCTCCCAAGAGCGAAGGGTGACGTAAACAAGCTGATAAGACCAAGGCTCCCAGCAGAGAGCGGTGACGTAACAAGTTCCTGACATCAAGGCCCAGCCAAGGCTCAGGAACGGGCGGCAACGCAACAATCTCTTTAACAGCAAGGCTCCCAAGAGCGAGGGGTGACGTAACAAGCTCTCAACGCCAAGGCTCCCGGTACGAACGGTGGTGTGAGTAATTTCGGCTTCTGTTTCTGAAGCGCTCTTTCCGTTTCTGTGCCAGCCCAGGTTTAATGGTTGTTTTCGGGTTTTCCCTCGGGTTTTTGCATGTTTTCCGGGTGCCCCCCCAAGACGGCCCGAGAGCGTTCCAAGAGAGTCCAAGACCGCCCAAGACGGCCCAAGAGGCCCCCAAGAGGCGCCCAAGGGGCGTCTTAAGAGGGCCCCAAGAGACCAACATCATTGATTTTCCAGCGGCAAACGTATGTTTTTAGCATATACGGCTTTTCGGTTTTCACGGCGCTGACGACGGCCCTCGGGGCCCCCAAGACCGCCCCCAGACAGTCCAGGAGGCTCCCAAGAGGACCCCAAAACGGCCCAAGAGGGCCCCAAGACGGCCCAAGAGGCGCCAAAGACGGCCCAAAAGGGCCTCAAGACGGCCCCAAGAGGGGGTCCACGAACCGAAAAGTCTAGCCTTACGCCCCAAGACGCTCCCAGGAGGCCCCAAAAGCCCCCCGAGAAGCCCCAAGAGGCCCCCAAGAGGCGTCCCAAGAGGCCACCAGGAGGCCAAAATTATGCATGTTCTATAAAAAGATACGTTTGTAGTATATTATATCCGGCTTTTCGACTTCACGGCGTTGAAGACGGTCTAAGAGTCTAAGAGGCCCCCACGATCGCCCCAAGACGGCCCAAGACGTTCCTAAGATGCCCCCAAAATGGCCCAAGAGGGCCCCAAGACGGCCCAATAGGCGCCCAAGACGGCCCAAGACGGCCCCAGGACGGCCCCAAGAGGGGGACCACGAACCGAACAGTTTAGCCTATCGCCCCAAGACGCTCCCATGAGGCCCCCAGAGCCCCCCAAGAAGCCCCAAGAGGCTCCCAAGAGGCCTCCAAAAGGGCCCGACAAGGGCTGCAATAGGACTCCCAAGAAGGCCCAGAGACGCCAAATAAAGAGCGATCGATAATGCAAAAAGCTCTTCACACCAAGGCTCCCAAGAGCGAAGGGTGACGTAAACAAGCTGATAAGACCAAGGCTCCCAGCAGAGAGCGGTGACGTAACAAGTTCCTGACACCAAGGCCCAGCCAAGGCTCAGGAACGGGCGGCAACGCAACAATCTCTGAACAGCAAGGCTCCCAAGAGCGAGGGGTGACGTAACAAGCTCTCAACGCCAAGGCTCCCGGTACGAACGGTGGTGTGAGTAATTTCGGCTTCTGTTTCTGAAGCGTTCTTTCCGTTTCTGTGCTG